CTTGTATCTAAAATAATAATAAATATCAAAGTTGTTTGACCTTGTTTTCGCAGCTTGGTAATATTAGTAGAAAGACCAAGAGGAACACACCTTGTCCGGAGTCCATAGTATATATGATAATTTCCAGTCGGACTGTAGACGTGATACATTCGCAGACGTTTCGCCCGCATCGTTAGTAAATCTTGCCACTTAGCACCACAATACAAGTCTCCAAAAAGACAAGTGAACCTAATCCTTTTAAAAATTGCCCGCTACCAAATTGTGGTATCTCTATTGCCCTACTCGAAGCGTTATTTCAAACCTTTGATGTCAGACATGCCCCCGTCTTGCTGAGTAGGTCCCTAATAAAAACCAGTAGAACCACAACATTTGTGGGTTAACAAACAAGAGATTAGACTATAGCAAGTTATAGACTTGGCAATATGGATAGAAGGACGATAGATGCAGCGCAGATAAGAGCTACCTGGCTAACAGTAGATGTATTTGATCATGGACGTGGCCCATCGAGCAAAGGTTTGACGATGATAATTACCCAGGCTCTGTAGCCGCAAGTTAGCCTCCTATCCAGCTTGAAAATCCTGATTTCCAGGGGTCTACTCAACGAAGCGGGAGTAGGCGTGCCATCAAAGGCTTGAGACAGTGTTAGAAATAACACTTCGAGTGGTTAGGGATCGAGTGAAATGCCTGAACCAGGAAGGTAGGAGGCGGATCCTACGGGGCAAGAGGGAGACTGATAAGAACTATGGAAAGGTGACGGCGTAAAAATATGGCAGACTCTGATCAACATTCCCAGCACAAGGATGAAGGAGGGTGAGAAAGCCAGCGTGGGATTTGGAGAGTTCTTATGACATCCGCTAAAAAGCGCACACCATAACACATTTAAATAAGCATTTAAGAAATTGTGATAGTGAAAGGGTGATATAAGGATATAGGATTGGCGAATAGCCCGAAGCACAAGAGATACAACAATTGTTTAGCAGACAATTTGTCAAAGAATCGGCTTTACTTGTCTCTTTGACAAGTTGTAGTGTGGTGCTAAGACTGACAAGGCTCGCTGAGAATGCTGACTAGGATACTGACGAAGCGTCTAAGAATGCACCACGTTCAAGGTCCGACTCTGAAAATTATCATGCATACTATGAACTCAGGACTATGTGCGTTCCTCTAACTTTTCTAGCAATATAACCAAGTTGCGAAAACAAGGTCAAACAACTTGTGTACAAGAAAAGGAGACTTCGACCATACAATCTTGGTCTTCACACCTTAGATTAATAAATATAAAGGTATATCGTAATGTAAGTGGTATAATATACTCTATTTTGCTGAAGGACACAGATTAAGAAAGATAATAGGATAATTTTGACTAGATGTCTGTGGTTGCGATATATTCCTCAACTTTTCGGAAAATTAAGACACTGAATTGCACGTTATGGCAAGTCACTGATTGAAAGACAAATAGTTCATAGTCTATAGATTATTTAGCATGATAAAAACAGGTTATTAGCATGACAAAAAAAGAAAATGAAATAAGAAATCACAATATAAAAAATGCATAAAGATCTGTGTTAAGTTAAAATAACGCAAAAACTTTTACATTAATTAATTTAGTATCACAAAATGAAAGTCACCGATCGATAATAAGCAAAATGATGGTACAAAGGAGACACACCTTGATTGCTTTCCGCATATATTTGCAATTATCTTTCTCAATGTCGTGGTGAGAGCGAATAATATTCTTCAAGTCGTCATCTACTACCATCCCGGGGCCTTGTGTGCATGGCCCACCAAGGAAAAGAAGGAGACGAGCCCCGGTATTCGGAAAAGCCGACTCAAGTAAACCAACAGCAACACTGAGCGCTGTACCGACGCTGCGCAGGCCTCGGCTGCCTTGCTTTACGGGCCAGGGGTCTGGAGGCAATTCATTCAGTAACTCAGAGAGACTAGCCTCGCAAAGTGACTTAGGTTGAATAAATCTGAGGCGGGAATAAGAGGCAATATCAGGAGAAAAGGGGAAGAAAATAGTAGCATGAATTAAGAGGAATAAGTGAGGCTTTTAGAGCAGATCATCATAAAGCGCAAAATAGCGAGTTCGTGTTTTTTATCCTAAAAAACATTTATAACTAAATCAATTTTTCTATTGTACTTTATCGTGAATACATTTTAAAGTAATTAGTAGAAGCCCTAGATTGGAAAAAGTATCATTTAACTGTATAAAAAGCATCTAAGAACTTGGCTTTAGTCCAGACAATTTTATATATTTTCGAGATACTACGGAACTAATTACTCTATTTATGTATGCTATCCTAAGTACATTGCTTAAAATGGAAATAAATTCTGTAATTTTATTGTGTGGTCATGACAAGATTTTTAAGCATGAAGAGAGCTAGAGACTAAGCTCGTTTAGGAGTCAGAGAATCTGTCTTTTTTTTCTGTATCGTAATCGCTGTCATTAGCACTTCCAAGTAAATGATATTTCTCTAAAAACTAGAGCAAAGTAAGCAAAAAATATATCTAGTATAATCATAGCCATTAACTCACTTTAAGCTCCTATTGGTAGTCGAGTATATAACTAGTGTTTAATGGCTTAATTATACCAAAAATTAATTTCAACACTTTTATTCAAAATAATTTTTGACCCTTAAAAATCTTTTTAATAACCATTAATCGTGTAGTGAGTATAAATGGAGAATATAGTTATTATATTAATTATGATAGGGTAGCCATTTTTAAGATAAGAATCTATAGAAGAAAATTAGAAGGGGTTATGAATAGGAAACTAACAAGACATGTAGTAAATAATGATGAAATATTCAATGATACCTTTAAGTGGATCAACAGCATAGCAGAATATGAAAATAGGTCAAGTTAAAAGGATACAAATCTAAGAAAAGGGCCGAATTTGCCTATTAATAATTTAATTATGGCTATTGTAAGCAGATAATGAGGGTACACACGCGTAATCAGAATTTATTGTCATTTACTTATGCGAATCAAATGCAAGAATTATGTAAAACTGAAGAGAAAATTATAGATAAGCAGAAGCGCAAAGATCAGCAAGAATTGAAAAAAGCATATTAAAAATGCTTTAAAAGTGTCTAAACCAAAGATAGTAAAATTAGGCAGAGTAATATGCCGCTAAAAATAAACGATAAATTTATGGAATCAAAAGCAAGACATAATGTTCCGTATAAAATGATAGTCAAAAATATAAGAAGCATAACGAATAAAAAGTGGGTTT